CAGGTAAAAGACAATGGATGGATGGATAAACTGATTGGTAACTCTAAATTGTCTCTAGGTGAGAGTGATAGCATGAATGGTTGTTTGTCTCTATGTGTCCTTGTGATGGACTGGAGACCTGTCCAGGGAGTACCCCGTCTCTTGCACAGTGATGCCTAGATATGGGCACCAGCGACCCCATGACCTAAAAAGGAAGAAGTGGGTAAAGATAATGGATGGATGGATGGATGGGATGAAGTGTAGACTCTTCATCCATCTTAATTAATGCTAATGTTTGATCCTTACTGCTCTCCATTCAGTACTTATAATCCCCATTCTTGTTTTATGCCGGCAACACTGCTAATGTAACTGCACACACATTGCCACAAGTCCTCTCATTGTGGGAAGCCCTTTGCCATTTGTCCTTACAGACAGTAACCGGCCATGCATGACCTTTGATGCAGTTTTTTTTTTTAAAAAAGAGCTAATTTTAAGAGGCACTCTTCATTTTTATGAGCAAATCTGCTTTAGCTCAAGAAAATGAGATACATACAGATGTGTGCGAGAGAGTCTGTTAATATGGTCTTTGTGTTTGCCTTTCATAAAACTGTTGTCATTCTTTGCTCCAAGTCTCATTAGCATCGGGCTCAGCAGCTGCTCAAGGAGCATGACATAAATATTCCTGACACAGGCTCAGTTTTCAGCTTCAGGGATCACCTTTTCTGAGGTGTGGTGATCCGCTGATACAGTTTCAGCTGGAGCAGTCGAAGCTTACTAATTGAGGAACTGGATCTTTCAGAACCCTCATGAGGGAAGTTTTATATGGCACTCGCAGTCTATTACATAAGAGTGCAAGTGTGTACAAAAGTTGTACATTTTGACAGGACTTTGTTCTGTGTTTAAATGAAAGTTTTATTTTGTGTATTCACTTATATCTGGATGAAACGGCGTAGCATCTGTTCTCTGGTTATTTTTGATTAAAAAAGCGAGCAACAGTTGTTTTATAAAAATTCAGAGTTTTTTTATTTTTTGTATGAAACAAAATATATTAAAGCACATAAAACCTACAAGGACATGTACTCTGCTTTCTATATTAATTCAGTAACTTTGATTTAGGGAGCCTGTGATGGACTTGCAACCTGTCCAGGGTGTACCCCGCCCCTTGTACAATGATTGCTGGACATGGGCACCAGCGACCCCCGTGACCCAAAATGGAATAAGCGGGTCAAAGATAATGGATGGATGATTGAGGGAGGGTAGGATTCAGTTAGATCATGCTTGAGACAGCTGCAATACAATTTATTAAACAATTACTGATGCAGCTCCATGCATCCATTATCACACAAAATCTCGGACCTAAAGGAAATAGTATATTTGGCTCAGTGCTGCAGGATAAAGCATCCATCCATCCATCCATCCATCCATCCATCCATCCATCCATCCATCCAT